AGGACTAGTATAGCTCTATCACTGGTAATTCATTGTAGATCACCTGACGGTGAACTTTGAGGAACAGAACCTTTTCAGAAATAGATCTGGCACCAGCCTCCTCTATATAGATGTAGCAGTACATATTTTCATTTGTTTTTTCCTGTTCTCCTCACCCTTGTCCTGAGATGGAGAAACTAGATGGAAGAATTACTGAACAGTTTTATTCTACTCCTGTGATAAGGTTGGTGTAAGACATAATAGTGCTAGAAATCTGGTATTCTACTTTTGTATCTGCCTTCACTTCAGATGTTTTCCTAAAACCAGCAAAGCCAGTCTCTGCAGTCATCTAATTCTCATGCCAAGTATGTTCTCCACATGCAACCACTCTCCAATGACACCCATTGCAAAACATTAAAAAAATGGTGTTTTAAACAAACATAGGAGAAAAGGGTCACCATTGGTGCCCTCTGCAGTGTGCTCCAAAGAGAGAAGAGAATGGAGGGAGGTGAGGGATGTCTTTTATAAACTACCTGAAAAAATCCTCTGAGATTTATGGGCAGGAGTCAGCAGTCCACATCTGGGGAAGATCTGTCTGACTGCAGTCTAGAAGTTTGGGCTTATGTCAGTATCTGTTGTGAAGAATACTGTTTGAAAAAGTGCACTCACAACATGTATTTGGGACTTCTGGGGTCTCTGATTTAGCAAAGTGTGCTGGTGTGGTGACTTCAGTCTTCCTTTTGCATTTGAATTCTGTCATGTTTGCTATCTTAGCACTTGATGTGGAATCTAGCAAACTCTGTGGTCTTTCTGACTTTAAAAAATTAAACCCTAAAGGTTTAAAGTGTGTAAATATAAATATTCTTATCATACTTTGATTATTGTGACACAATTTGTGCTTTTTCAAACATTGTTATCATAATGTACATATGCTCTAGTGGTAGTATTCTGTTACTTTAGTGGGGATTAATTCCACAAATCCAGTATCTGCAGCCAGAGAGCTAATGAGATAATTTCAGAAAGGTCAAGGGACCATAGTCATTTACATTTGATTGAGCTTTCTTGGACTCAGGCAGGTCGAAAAGTTTAGAGATCGCCACTATATCTGTGGTTGGGGATTCTTCCAGTTTGTGGGATTGCATGACAAGTACAGGGGTAGCATATGCAGGTTCTGTGCACCCCAATGTACAGCACCTGGGGTCAGGTACTGCACTGAAGAAGGCAACTAATAACAGGAGTTCATCTATCGCTCTCCTGTCTGCATATTTTGGGAATATAATTCCTTGGCATGTGTTAAAACAGTAGTGAGGCTTCTTTAACCACTCTGAGGGGAAAAAAAAAAAATAAATTAATGGTAGTACCTAGTTATGCATTCCTGACTTTGTCTTCCTGACACCCGCTGCCTTGCTCTGACATGGATGGTTCTGCAAACTATACTCAAGCAGAAGCTGGGAACAACTGGCCTTGCTGAGACTCTTCCTAAGCCTCCTTTTGTGTGCTGTTCCCTCAACACCACGAACAACTTTCCCAATAACTGACAAAGACTTCAGATTACAAAACTGAAATAAACATGTTCACCAGATGCCAGCACCAAATAATGGTTTGGTCCTAGGTGGCTTTACTTTCTGGTGTGATGGTAGAAAATGGGACCGTGCTGTACGGTATTAGCAAGGGAGAGGATGAGGGAGAAACAAAGGCTGTAAAAAACTGAAACTATGTGACCAAAGGAGTCCTTGTACTGTAGGTTTTGAAGGCTCTATAATTTAATAAGTATCAAACACATTAGTGCATCCTATCTGTTTTAAAACAGCTTTAGTCATACCTTATTCTTTGCTACTTCTCTGCTGTGGAATTTTTCCTTTGTACTAAGGCTAACTTTAAATGTTTCAGGTTTTCCTTTCCCTAGCAAAAGGGGTAAACTCACAGCCAAGAGTGAGACAGTTCTGCACTAAGCATTCCACCTCTGTGGTTACCCCATTGCTGTGATGACATTTGAGCAGCTCTAGATTTCAGTGCTGTGATTACATTTGAGCAGCTCTAGATTTCAGTACTGCTGTATCATTTTGCTTTCAGCTTTTAATGAAAAAGTTTTCATAGCCAGGGAACAGAACAATAGGGGGGTTTGTATCCACCATCAGCCCCTCTCCCCCAAAAAAGGTTCAACTGAGTGAAATGCTATTAAAACCAACATTTGAACAGATGCCAAGTGGGAAGAGACAGCAAGCATGTAATCAGGAACAGTTGAATTATTTCAGAAGGAATATATGTAAAATAATAAATTATTTTAAAACAGGTTTTCTTTTGCTTCTCTTCTTTTAATCACAGTCTTATTTAAGAACAATAACAGTCCTTCTGTTGGTCCCTCTTACTGTCTCAGTAACCTTGCACTGAAATGCTATTATTTCACCATATTAAGATCTAATTTTAGTAATCAACCCTTATGCACTGAATATCTTGACATTCACTACTTTCTACACTTTCAGGTTTTAATAAAGGCACACAGACTTCTTTTAGTTCATTACTGTAAGGCAAAATGAGACACGTTATGCATCTCTCATAAAGGCACACATTTTTGTTTGCAGATGGATGAACACATTATGTTGTGTCACATCTGTGTCTAAGCAGATGTAAGTATTCATGTTGGGTACAGGTTATTTTTTTTCTTGAGATACATAGGTATAAAGTTTGAATAAAAATACAATGTTCAGTTTTTAGACATTACACAATGCCCTTTGGTCAGCAGTTTATACAAACACAGTTTCCATATTACCATGCGGGAGGACTGTAACAGTCATCATCAAACCCAAGACTGGCAGTGCAAATTTCTGAGCAGAGGAAGAAGACCTTTCCAAAAGGAAATTTGCAAGAAAATGTATTTAATTTGAAAGGCTGTGGTATCTCTCTCAAATTACGGTTGTTTGTTCATTTGATCCATTTGTCCAGTAAAAATAGTAGCAGATCCTGTGAGATCTACAGTAGAGCTTTTTTGATCATGGGAATCCAATATTCATTGCTCGATGGCATTTGCTTTTATAAACAAGAACTACAATTGTTAATGTTCTTGTGAGTATCCTAAATCAGCATTTAGAACACACATATTTCAGGTGTGAGTATGCAACCAGGGATTGATACTATAACAGCTGTGTTCCAGTTATTTATTAGGTAAGTATTTTCATATTTTAAAAATAAAATGTATGGATTTTTTTTTAACCAAAAAATTTTTGCAATGGATGCTTCAGCACTAAAAATCAGCATTATCATGGGTCCTTTCTCAGTCTTCAGTCTTTTGCAAATTGCAGTAGCATACCTTCTGAAAAACATGAATGCTGATTTAGAAGAACACCTTCAATCACTGATATGAGTTTAAGAAGAGACATCAGCAGTGTAAGATGGCTGTACTACAATTTTCACTCCATGGAAAGTCTGCTCAGTATTTTGCAGTGCCATGCATGCTCTGTTACATGGCATACACCTACACTGGCTCAACCAGAGGAAAATCGACAAAAACATGCAGATGCTGAGAGATGCTTGAAGAAGTTGAAGAAGTAGAGGTCTTCTGGTGTGAAGCTTCTAGGTATGCCCTTCTTTTTATCAACAAAATGACATAGTACTTGAACTATTGATTTTCTTTTACTTGGTATCTGGATACAAAGTTGTTTATGATATTTATTTCTTTCTCGTTGATGGAAAGTTGAAGAAGGGAGTTGAACAAAACATACAGGGAAGTTCATGTTAATATAGAATGTTTTCCATTTTCCATCCTCTCAATAAAATGCACTGACATGGGAAAATTTGAATGCAGTCCTGATGACATGGAAAAGCAAAAGAGAAGGCCACAGACTTGCAAATAAAACTTAATTGTTACTTGCTTATTTAAACTGACAAGGAGACATTGCTCCATGACTAGCTCTAAGTTACTAATGATACTGGCGCTATGTTTTATATATCACATCATTCACGTACTTGATCATCATTCTCTCATCATGTTTTATGTTCTTGGCCTGTCCAAGTTCAGTTATGGCAAAGAAGCCTCTGTGCTCTTTTTGGATGGCTTTTGGTTTCTATTTTCCTTTGTTTTAAAAATAATCAGATTGCAAATCTTACACAGGGGGATGAGCGATGGACATAATCCTTGCTTTGCTGTCTGGATCATGAGCATCTGATACATGATAGTTCTCCGCTTGCTGCAAAACTACTCTAGTAACTCCATGCTGTTCTGATTGCTTTTTGTCTCTTTGTGCCTCTTAAAGGCACTGATGTGTGTATGTTTCCTAACTCATTAGTTCCTTTTTTAAATTCATTAAGAGTTATTTCTCTTTTATTCAAAAAGAGAAGGAAGTGGTAAAAACTAACTACACTGGAGCAGAGTAATAGAAAAACAACTCGCTATTCAGGCTTAGTTTAGGGAAAAGAGATTTTGCTCCCTTATTATCTTTCTCTTAAATAGGTCAAGAGGTGGTTTTGTATTTTGTCCACACCCATTTTTATTCTTTACACTCATCTGAAAATCAAGTCCATTGATCGGCTGAGATGCTCTCTCTACTAAGTGATCTTAAAGTGATCCAAAGAGTAGCCTTAAGAAAGCAAACTTACAGGATCTCTGTGCTTTCAGTCTTTGTTGCTGTTGGCAACCTGAATGTAATTTGATTTCACAGTACTCACAGCGTGCCAAGGAAGAGCTAATCCTGTAGATGGGTAGTATATTGCTCCATATTGCCCATTCCTAGTCCAGTCAGGCCATATGAATAAACATGACTTTGTACCGAGGCTTCCCCCCTCAATATAGCCCTGGAATCAGGGCTGATGCAACCTCTTTATATGGGGTGGAGGCAATTGAATTTACAAGTAACAAGGAGCACAGATACCTTGAAAAGATTGATTGAGGGAGCTGAGATGTTGGATGTAGAACTAACTGACACACAGTTTTGAAAAGTTGGGGGCTTAAGGGAGAAATTAAATGACCTCTCTATTGTATGGCACAAGTGGATCAGTGGTTCTGTTTTTATGTTTTTCTTTGAAAGATATCACCTGCTGGCTGCAGAGTGGGTGGATTCAGCTTCCTTCTGGAGCCTGAGCAAATCACTTGAGGAAGATCTTGCTTTCTGCTGTGTCCTAAAGACAACATGGAAGGGGAGAGCATCTATGAGGTTGATTCTGGAGATGGACTCGGAGGTAAGGATGCCTATGACTTATTTTTGCTTTCATCCCAGCTGGCTGGTTGCAGGAAGCCCTTATGACAATGGACCTCGGAAAACACAAAAAGCAAATGTGATAAAGATGTCTACAGTTCATTTATTGTATTATGTCACTTTGCAAGCAGTGAATAAAAATTTTTGAAAACAACTGTGTCCTAGAGGAAGTGGCACATGTAGATTCTGCACATTCTAAATGTTGTTATTTAGTGTCTGAGATGTCCCAAAGATTATGCAAACCCTAAATATTTACAATAAAAGTAAAGGCATGTAGCCTTTTGTCTTTTTCTTTGTTTCTCTTTTTTCTTTCTCACCTGCCGAGTAACTGTATTGCACACACTATCTGTTTTGTTTGTATTTATTATATCTTATTTTGTTTTTATTTAACTGGACTGCAGAAACCATCATGAAATGGTATTGACTGTTTTCTAGACTAGCAACCCATGTGTAGATGCGGACTTTTCATTGACTTGAAATAAAAAGTTTGTTTTTACTTAGCTACTAATTCTACAGGTGTATACAGGGGACAAATTAGCTAACTTCATTGCTGTGGTTTATCATCTTCATAATGGAGCAACAGCTTCTCAGAGAAGGTAATATTACATACTTCTACAGGGATGCTGTTCTTTGCGTATAACGCAGAGGACCTTTCATAGAGTTTTGGAGTAGCTACATCTGCTTTAAATTCCTGGTTTAACACAGTTTCTTCTGAGATTAACTAATCAAACACCTTTAGTTTGCAGAACACCTTGAACTGCCTAGGTCAACTCTTGAGCACAGAAATCTAAATACTATGGGAAAAAATAAGTTTCTACATTAGAACATTGTAATAATAAAGACTTGGTATGCTGCACATCTGTTTGATGGTTTAGAAGTTTTCCTGTGACTGGATTGTAACTAGGCAGATTGTTTTTTGACTGAATATACTTCGGTTGTGCTAAGTTGCTCTCTTTTGTGTTTAATATTTTTGTAATACTTTTTTTGGGCCCTGTCTGTATCAGCAGTACTATATACTAGGAGGGAAAGTTTCTACTGTTTTTCCACTGAATTTCCTTCTCATTAATTAATTGCTTTCAGACACTTATCAGTTGGACTAACACGCAGATATGTATCCTTAAACAGTGTATTTTTTTTAAAGACAAAAAACCCTGGTGGTTCAAGTTACTTTTAAAATTCCTGATAATACTGTCTATGAAAGAGTGATTTTGTCATTATAAAATTTATGACAAGAACAATGTAAGTATTTATGCTCAAGTAATGCATTTCTGCTAGGTTAATGAAGGGAAATAGAGTAGCAGCATTCTCTTTGACTTTCTGGAGCATTTGTGTTGCCCTCTACCAAAGCTTTTGAAACATCTGGAGCCATCGTTATGACCATTACTGATTAGGTTACTTTTTTATTTTGTAACCTTTCTCAAGAACTAGTTTTCTGGCCTTACCATTGTGTCCTTCAGTCACTGAATCTCTGCTGCAGTACTGCATTTTTGTAATTTCTTTCATGCTGATTGGAGCATGGAAAAATTCCTTCAGATTCTAACAAGGTCATAAGCACTTGAGACCATATTTACTATTTTTGGGAAATAGAATAAATTGTCATTTACATAAGTTGAATAGAAATACTGATACAAGAATGAAATCTGATCATGTATGTGATAGGGCCATATATACGGCAGCATGTCAGTATCTCCAATGTACATGTATGTACGGTTTTTTGGACACAGTGTGCTTGCACGAGTAATACTAATCACAGAGTATCATTTAATATTTTTCAGAAAACAGGTGATGTTCTCTGTGTAAATTGCTGCATAGCAGCCCAAGTAAAAAAAATTCCTTGCTTCATTCCTTATAAACAAAACCAAAGTGTATCAAAACAAACTCCACAAAAATTGCTGTTCTGACAGTATGAAAAATGGGCAAGAGCGAGCTCTCTTTTATGATCAGCCCATCAAGCATTCCTCTTTGTTGAGTAATGGAAGTGTTGCAAGCTCCTGTGTTTTAAAATCAAAGGTGACTAAAACTTTGAGTGTAGCTTTGCTAAGTTTCTTGGTTTGTCTTTGTCCTGCTTTTTCTACTTCTACTTGAGGTACCAAAATGACAAGTATATGCTGTTTATGGAGCCAAACTAGGCAATTTTGCACTGTTTTCTAGAATGTGATTTAAATAAAAATGTAACTCTTTCGGAAGATAAAGGACATGCATACTTTCTGAGGTGGGTACATAGTTTTCAGTGGTCTGTTACAGAGTCTGTATACACCCTATGTATTATGAATACAGTCATATTTTGAGATATGTACATATTGAGCACAAATGTATGATTTCAGTTAGGCTGATTTGATGTTTGAATTATGATATATCAGAGACCTGAGACAACAGAAAAGTGCCCATTTTCATCATCATGAGTAGAACATGTCAAGCAATTTACCAGTATGATGAAATGACCTCCAAAAAACAAAGTGTGTTTTGTTAATTCAAGATCTGGGGTCTCTGGTGCAAGAGTTTCCTGGGACCATAAACTCCCTGTGAGACTGCATGAGTTTTAAGGTTAGAAGACCTTAAGAATTTTGTGGCCGTTTCTTGTAAGATCAAAAAAAAAAAAAAAAAAAAATTACCTCATAGTTCATTATTTTGTTAACAGAAAATCAGGCCACTGTTTTCAGATTCAGGAACCCAAAGTAAGTCTCTTCCTCTCATTTTAACTGCAGGAAAGTATTTGGGTTTTCATAGGTGTGGTTGGCTTACAGCACTCCTCAATGCCAGTGAAAGCTCAGAAATGATGCTTACAGAGATCAAGTAAATTAATTTGATACTGTCGAGTTATGTACTTAACTCAGACTTCTTCATTTAAAAAATTAGCCCTAATATTAGAAGCTGTTTAGGTAGCTGTATTGCAGGTTGTGTACCTGGTCATCTTGACTTGATGTTACTTCATAGCAGATTTTGAATGCCTCATAAATAAGGCACAGAGAAGAACAGAGCTGACTTTTCTTCTGGCTTATAAAGCCAAACTGTGAAGGTCCTTATTATGCATCTAATAGTCCCCAGAGAACAAGCCACCCCAAACATGGTGGAGAAGAGACAGGACTGTAATTCTTCACTGTGCAATGCATTGAAAACCTGTTATAGCTGACCTAGAACAGATGGGCTCGTCTGCTTCAAAGCAAAGACTTCATAGCTGCAGTTGCCTAGGAGAGATTTGTGCTTTCCTCAAAGGAAAGAACTCTGTGGTGGGGTGACCTTGGCTGGCTGCCAGGTGTCCACCAAGCTGTGCTCTTACTCCCCCTCCTCAGCAGGACAGGGGAAGAAAATAAGATGAAAGGATAAAGAGAGGGACATCACTCATCAATTACTGTCACAGGAAGAAAAGACTCAACTTCAGAAAGATTAATTTATTACCAATTAAAAATATAGTAGGTTAGTGACAAAAAAACCCCAAAACTAAACCCACCTTCCCTTCACCCCCTTTCTTCCCAGACTCAACTTCACTCCTTCCTGGCTTTTCTGCCACTTTCTGCCACCCCTGAGCAGTTCAGGGCAATGGGGAGTGAGGGTTACAGTCAGTCCATAACACTTTGCCTCTGCTGATACTTCTCCTTATGCTCTTTCTCCACTCCAGCATGGGGTCCCACTTAGTGGATACAGTCAGTCCTTCACTGATTTTTTCCAATGTGGGTCCTCCTCATGGGCTGCAGTTCCTCAAGAACTGCTACAGCATGGGTCCTCTCCATGGGCTACAGTCTGTCAGAAATGTACTGCTCCAGTGTGGGTCCCCTACAAGCCACAGTTCTTGCCAGAAAACCTCCTTCTATGTGAGGCCACAGCTCCTGCCAGGAGCCTGCTGCAGTGTGGGTTCTCCATGGGCTGCAGCTTCCTTTAGGGCATTTCCACCTGCTCTGGTGTGGGGACCTCAGTGGGCTGCAGACTGGATATCTGCTCCATTGTGGTCCTCCACAGGCTCCAGGACAACCTGCATCACCATGGTCTTCTCCATGGGCTGCAAGGGAATTTCTGCTCCAGCGCCTTGAGCACTTCCTTCCCTCTCCTTCTTCACTGACCTTGGTGTCTGCAGGGCTGTCTCACATTTCCACACTCCTTTCTCACAGCTGCTGTTGTGTAGGTTTTTCACCCCTTCTTACACACCTTATCACAGAGGTGCCACTAGTGTCACTGATGGGCTCAGCTTTGGCCTGTGGTGGGTCTGTCTTGGAGCTGTCTGGAAGAGGCTCTATCTAACATGGGGGCAGCTCCTGGTCTCCTTACAGAGGCCGCCCCTGCAGCCCCCTGCCACCAAAACCTTGCCATTTAAACCCAACAGAGACTCTTACTGTTATTACAGAACAATATGCTGCTTCAAGTATATTCCTTAGAGACCTGATGCAATTCTTAGAGGGTATTGTCATTAAGTGTTTGTCTTTATTATCAATATCTTGGCTACTTTGATGTGTAGCTAAAAGTAGTCATTAACTTGGACAATGTAGAGTTATATATATTTGGAGGTGTTTCTTTAAACACTTTTAATCTTTTTAAATATGTAGTGACATGATTATTAATTAAAAGTAAAGATCAAGCTCTATTATTGTTCTGCTTCCATGACTTGATTTTTCAAATGTAATCCTGTTTGTTTTGGCAAAGAGTCTGCAGTGTCTAGATATATATGCAGGATCAATACTATAGCACACATTGTTTCTTCTTCCTTGTACTGTATTTTGATAAGAACCTGAAGATTTGCTTCTACCTGAAAGATATTACAGGGAGAAGATTGGGGAGGGGTTAAGCAACTTTTGTGGTTCTGTTGTGTTGTTGGTACTATGCCAGATCTGCTTTTGGCCTGGTGTTTTCACTTGTAGCTCCCATTCAAGTAAAAAATCCTTCCTGTATGTTAGCAAGGCTGCAAGTCAGTTGCTATGGTATTCAGCTTTTTTTTTTTTTTTTTTAAACCAATCAGCATGCTTTTGTGATGATTCAGCCCAGAACAAGAAATTGGTCACACAGGCTAGAGCTGTAATCAAAAGAGCAGCTATTGTTGGCTTGAAAATCTATAGAGGTTGGGAGAACAGCAGAATTAGAGTTTCAAGAAAATATTTAGCACAGTCTGTGTTTATAATATATATATTCTAATGTGTAACTAAATGCTCATAATGATGGTAATGGCAGTAGTCCTTTTTCAGGATGATGATAAAAATTGAATCACTGGACTAATTTCTTTATGTTCTTTTGTCACCCCAAAGACATTGGCAATTTCCAGCTAAAATTTACAAGGTATTTTTATTCTGTGGCCATTTTTGATTTTTTGTTGTTGTTGTGCTACAGAATGGTAGTATGTTTCTGACAGTGTATTATTTGCTAGGGTAAGACTACCAGACTCTGTGACTTGTCTTCTCAATTTTAGTGTTGCTGTTCGGCTACTCAGAAAATTCTGGAAGACAGCTAGATAATGTAGAAGGATTTTAAAGTCATAGTGGTGCTGATATGTAGCTATAGTGATCCAAGGATAAAAGAAAGACAGGATAGTTAGAGAGACATATATTCTGATAGATGAACTATCCAAAAAGGGAGAATGGACTTTTGTGGGTCTTCTGCAGATTTTAAGAAGCTCTTGTCTGCTTGAAGGCAAGGTTGTTTTCCTACCCACCCTGTAAGCAACTCTATCAGCAGGACAAAAAGGAGACACTACTTCTTTTATACGAAACTTCTTTCCAAAGTCATGGCTATGCCACAAATAAAATTTTAAAATTTCAAGTTAGAAATCATGTTTGTAAAAGACATACTAAAAGGCCATCGAAATCTAGGCGCTTCACCTGACAACAGTAAGTATGTGAAAACACATATTTGAATTTGGAAATAACTAGACAAATAAGTAAAGATTTTCTCTAGGAATGCTTTTTGTCTGTGTGCTTTGTACAATACAGTGGCACAATCCTTTCCCAGTGGATAGCAGGATCTCCTGAAGAAGCTTTTGCTTATAGCTCCCAGAAGTGTCATGAGAGCTTTTGTTTTCTTTCCCAGACCCTTATGTGGTACCCCTTCTTTTTCTGTATGCAGGTAATAATGCTGGCAGTGAATAATGATATCTGTTCTCTCACTGAGCGTGAACAAAACCACCTCCTAGGCATCAAGTGTTTGACTAAGAATAGTAACTAAATGATAAAGTTGAATCTTGGAGAGGCTTTAAATGATGCTGGTAGAGACCATGAACTGTTCCACCTCTGTAATAACTCTGTTTCAGTGTTTGAATTCCTCATTGTCATTGGACATCCAGGGAAACCTCAGCATGCTGTGTGCATGCCATCAAAATAGTAAAGCAGTCAGCTGTGATGTTCAGGAAATACTGCTTTCTAAGCATGTGGTATATGACTTTGCAAGAGATCAAGAGGAAGATGTGCATCAGTTCATCAAACAGAATGAAAAATCCACCTTCCAAGATAGTACCAAAAAAACCCCCAAAAACCAGAGCAAAAAAGACTTGTCATAGCAAACTGAAAGAAGAGTAAAACTCTTCCTTGTAAGTAAGTCTTAATTTATTGCACTGGGATTCCTGCATCCTAATAACGTGGAAAATGGAGTGCTCCCCATTGACTGTTCAGCTAAACAGGCTAAAGTCTTTTTAGGTCAGGTATTAATTTTTATTTATGTCAAATCTATCCTTAAACACATACTCCTGGGACAATCTCCCATGTTTTTGAGTGAAATTAAGAGATTTTTTTTAGAGTTTATGGGTTTTGATAGCCAAAATTTTAATATGTGTGATGTTTCACATTTGTTAGTTGCCACTGGATGTCTGAGTACATAAAAACCAGACATCCAGGAGATAAAATTTTAAAGCATGCCCTATTTTTACAAATACAGTTTTAATGACATAGTTCACTAATGTTTTATCTTCTAATGTTTTCAGATGAGCTCTTTATTGTTTACTAGTGTTCTTCAACTTATTTTAAAGAACTATATACTAAGTTATAAGGTACATATGAATGACCAGCAGTCATTATGGCATTACAGTCATTAGAACAGATAGTTTTGCACTATAATACATGTGGGATATTTTATATTGATTCTTATCTTCATCTGGAAATAAATTTGTAAATACAGGAGGGAGAGCAAAAAATGAGAGTTGTTCTTGGACATACTTTTTTGTAGCTTGCAGTGAAAATGTATAGAGGGCACTTGGAGAAAGTGATAATAATCTGTAACCATTGTGGATATTAAAAATAGGATGGAGGTCATCCTGAAGGTGATTATGAAATCAAGATGCACATAAGCCCATTGCCAGGGTTTAAATGACAATTAATGTCTTTGGTCCAGGTTTTCACTTGATGGATATATAGTGAGTTTATCAAAGGACGACAGTTTGACATATAAATGTGAAAATCCTCAACAAGTGGCTCCTAGGGAAATGACAGAAATACAGCTGTCAGAGTTCTTGTATAGTTGTCTGCTGCAAATAAACGCTTAGATGAGGTCTTCCAGTGGTAGCATAGATGATCTAGAGATAAATTATTCTTTATTCAAGCATCACAGTCACTGATCATATAATTTTAAGCACTGAGCATCTAAAATTCTTACGCCAAAATGTAGGCAAGAATATTCAAGATCTTGAAAGTATTTTCTGCAGTGGCCCTTGCGTTTTAATAGTTTTTGCAAGAACATCTATGAAAGATACAGATTTTAGTAGTTTTTGGGGTCACATCTAAAGTACACATATATTCCTATATGAATTTACTTAGAAATTGCCCTTCGCTAATAATTGCTCATGACTATTTGCCACCCAGTTTGTAAGGCAAGTCATAAGGGATGAGATTTCATTTAGTAGAGTTCTGCCTTTTTAAGGAAATTGCAATGTAAGAGATGGGAAGTGTATTTAAGTTTGGTTATATGAAGAATTCTTTGTGCACTGATCTGTTGTCCAAAGACATGGGTTGCTACATGTCACTTTATTTACCTGTCATATGTTTTATACACAAACTGATAGTTCTTCACTGCTTATACTCAATCTTTGCAAATAGATTGATATATACTAGTCCCCTAGTAGCGTAGGTATCATAGTTCCACTGCTTTTGATAATTATAAGAGATATGATGGTCTACATACTCAGAGGACTTGCCCCATTTCCACCAAAAGAATAATGGGGGCTTTATTCAGATTCACCATTTATTCAAAGTACTGCTTTTAATAGTTCAAATAGAAGTCAAAAGAAAACTCTCATGAGTACAATGCATGCAGTTACACACTTGAGTAACTAACTTGAAGGGACTGTTGCTGTCTGGACTAGATTCACATAATGACAAATGCCGTCATAAAAAGGACTGCTTTGATACAGCACTTCATCTTTCTGAATTTCAAGGCTCTGCAAATTTAAATATAAGCATGTGTAAATAAGCATCGAAACCATCCTGGCATGTATAATAGATTTTATTTTTTCCTATTCAGTACTTGCATGTGTTTTCTTTTCAGTGTATTTTCTAGAAAAGAAAGGCTTTTGAAGAAAAGTGAAAGATACAAATTAAAATGGAGAATATATTTCTTCACAGATCTATGATGTTTTCTCTTTGATGTTATACATACCTGGGATTGAGGAGTTGATAGTTTGGCCTGCTATACTTCGAGTATCAGAATTAATATAGAATGGGTTCCTTAACTTTCTCTCCTTATGTTCTGATCACAGAATTACAGTTTACTTCTCTAAAACAGAGCATTTGATTTGTATGCTTGTGTGATTTTTTTTTTTTTCTTCTTTATAACTTTTTCATTTTTTATTAGGAAGATCCTACCTTTAAAAGGGAAAGAGCACCTGTTCTCTAGATCCTGTAGACTTTTTTTCTGTGCTCCATTTTAAATTTTATTGACTGAAGCAGTTAACACTTAAAACCCTGCTTCAACAAGCATTCTGTTGAACTGCTGTTGATGGAGGGTAAACTGAACTGAGTTGAACCCCTTCAACAGCTGTACAGTGGGTTTCACACTAAGGAATTTTTGAGGTACTTAATTATTTCAATGACTTAGTATCAGCATGTCTCTGGTAATTCTAAAAATAGTACCTACTTCTTTGGGGTTAAAAGTATGAGAGAGGAAACTCTCTTGAGTCTCAGATAATTACACTGATGGAAGAGAATATAGGAGCTAGAAAGATCTGGGCTGCAGCTACTAGAAAGATCTGGGCTGCAAATGTCTACTGAGGAAGTGTTTTTCTGTTATTGAAAGTGATTGGGAGAACAAGGTGCGTTTTTGCTTACAGGGTCAACAGTTTTGTTCCTGCTTGAAAAATTATCCTTAGATGAGGAAAGTTTTCACCATTTTTTTGTCTTGAATTTCTTTGTTTTTTAGGGAAAGCTATAAGGAAGCTTGTGCGCAAGGCGACTCTGGTGGCATCTAGAATCCTCAGATTTCCTTGACTGAATCCATCTGGGTTTAGCCCTAAATATAGTAGACAAGCTGCACTGTTTGCACTGATAAATTATATCTTCCAAATGATAGACCAAGGTACAGTCATGTATACTAACCGTTTTTGATCTCATTTGACTCTTGATTCTGTTGCTTTTTGGGTAGTTGTGACAGTATGGTTTGTCCTCATTGTTGTGGACTATTTTTTCATCAGTACCAATTAATTGAAAGAGACTTCTGGCCTGGCTCTGGGATTTGATGTTGTCAGCTCCTTGCGAGTCTGCAGCTTGGTGGGAAACAGCCTCTCCTAAGATTTACAAACTTGCCTTCAGTGGCAGGTAGACAGTGGGACTGTTGGCAGCACAACTTTATTTGGTTTTACTACCCATAGAAAAGAAAAAAAGTGAAAACCTAAAACAAAACTCCACTTCCTTTTTGACATATTTTCATTTTACTTTGTATGCTGAGCAGTCATAAAATGAAAACAGACTGTGTTCTAACAAAGCATAGATTTTGACTATAAAATAACAGCTGTATCATCAAAATAAAAAATAGATCAAGAAAGTACTACTCTAAACAATAGTTAATAATTAGGTTTCTTTATATCTGCTTTGGTATATCTCAGCTAGCTGTTGGAATGAGCACGAAATCTCAGTGCCAACTGGCCTGCTTTCTGAGGTCAGAACTTCTCTTTGCTTTTGTTTTAGATGGGAAAATCTTCTGTCTTCTACCTGTGTCTTTTCTGAACTATAGGGAGATAACTTTAATATTACCAGTTTCAAGATGTTTTTGGAGTGGTGGTGCTGGTTCACATTTTAAGACTTTGGTATTTAACAGAATATATTACTCTGCTTGGATCATCCATGAAATCTAAAAATTGAGACTGATTAAACATTTTAAAAAATTTGTCTTATTTGAGCATGACATTGGTTGAATATTGATCCAGTTGCACACAGGCTATTAAAATTCTGATTTTTAATGGTTTAGATATTGTGTTAGAAGATTTCAGAGCTGTCTTTTTTCTTTTACCCAAAGATGGGATGGGGGAGTGTTTCCTGCATTTGTCTGGTTGGTTCCTTCATGTTACATGCTGGCCTGTGGCTGTTCACTGCCTTCACCTTCAAATATTGAGCTTTATCATGATTTTGCTGTTGTGCCAACCTTTCAGTGGCTTCTCCTTAGTGCACAAAGTACTTGGGAGAGCATCTGGAGTGTGGACTGGATGGTTGTAAGCTCAGATTCACTGGCACATTTGGCCCCCTGTGAATGTCCACATCTTGCTAAGGGAGTTCTTATACCAACCACAGTCTAAATCATCAGCTGACCACAATAAAGAATTCTGTAGGTCAGGCACAATTTACAAGTTGCATATGGCTTTGAAGTTGCTACATCTGTTTTCTGTTTTCTGGCAAAAGATTAGATTTAAAGAATTAATGACATTGGTGTTCAGCCTTGCAGAGTTGATCTACAGATGGTTCTCATTTTGAATATAATTATTTTAAAATATATGTACTTGCTGAGAGGTTAATGAAAGGTTCCCATAATTCTCCTGTTTAATTAGTAAAATACAGCAAATAATTGAAGAATATGTGTATCTTTTCAATTGGCAAAAACAGTTCACACATTTGGCACACAGACAATTTTCTGTGCGTATCATTAGTAGAACAGGAAGATGAGTACATCTTTTTTTACTGGGTTGTGATACTGTCTATGATGACATTCAGCTGGCCTGTAGTGGTCTGTGTCAAATGCTTCCCTTCCTTGTACACTGCCAGTGTTTTGCGATGTCTTTATGTCTATTGTACATCTATCTATCTATTCAGCATTTGGCAGATCAGAGTATATGGGTGAATTAGTTTTTCTTTGTTCTAGAACATTATGATGTTATTTAATGGTGGTTTTAGGTAATAAAGTATTGTGTTTCTCTCTTAATTTATAATTTTAAGGAAAATTCTGACTGCCAACAAAATAATTTCTCAACAGAAAAGGTCCTGAGAGACGTTACTTCTACAAGAGAATCAGTGGACACCACACTAGAAATGTCTGGGAGGTGGCAAAGAAAATTGAGAAGAGAGGATGGCTCAGGCTTTCCTTTACGTGTTGCAGCAAGACTAGGGCTGTTGTGGCATGACAAATTTCTGTTAGTATAGATAGCATTATAACAGTAGTAAAATGCTGAAGATAGTTTTAAAATTCAGATAATAAATAAAAGGGATTTAACAGTCACTAATACAGACCAGAAATACCTGAGATCCAGGGACACTTGTAATGTTAAATGAGAAACATGTTTAATGAAGTCAAGTACACAAAAGTCAGGAAAAGTTAGAAATTTGCTCATGATGGTTTTTTGTGAGCTGCTTTTGTATTCAGCTGTGTAAGCATGAGCTAATTTTACTTTAGATTAGTAGTCATTCAATGAATTGATTAAACGCATAGAAAGGTACATTGATGAAACAGAGGCATGGCAAATGAGTTTCTTCTGTCATTGTTTTTGAGAGGTTGACCCAACAGTTTTTTCTTTATTTAAAAGGTCTTCATAAATAACTAAATGTTTTTAATAAAACTAAAGATGCTCCAGCTAGATACTAGCTTGAGTTAGAGTATGATGATATACAGATCAGCTTACTGTCTCCAACTCTTCAGCACAAAGGGCTGAGGACAAGTATTACTGGACGCAAGTAGGAGAGGATGCAGGTTTGAAGTGTTCAGTGGAAGACATCTCTGTTTTGGAGAGGACTGGTTGCTCTTATGTAATAAGCACTAAGACAGAGAGACCTTACAATGTAAGGAGAGAAAAGTTAATTTCAGCTTTTCTCAACAGTATTTTCAACTGTTGAAAGGGATTCTAGAGATAAAGCAGTTATTAATATAGTCATGGATTTAATGCAGAAGTTAAATCTGATCTATTTAGAAAGAGCAGTCCATATGGTCAGAAGTCTGCAACCAGTGGGTCTAATGGATTTGCTGCATTGGTGAAATAATAGAGAGTGGGAAACAAGGCAGAAAACCAGGAATAAGTAGGTATCTCATTGAAATTCATGGCAAGAACATGAATTTGGTACAATAGAGGGTTTCTAGTTGAGGCTTCAGTTCCTCACACCAATGGGCAGGTGACAGGACTGTTATTCTACCCTGTTCTATACGAGGAGTGAATATAATATTATTGCATTGTGTTTGCTTTTGTAGTGTTTAATTTTATCTCACTGCATTCCCATCTGAAAACACAACCAGTGTGGTTAGCAGCTAAAGTGATGGTTCTTCAACAGCAGCATACTGATATGAACTTTTATGTATGCTCAGCACTGTAACATCATTGAACACGTGCTCGCTGTGTTTCTATTTAATGCTGCTCTAGCCACTTCTGACAAGTTGATATACTAGCACATCAGGATCCTGTATTGGTACATCACAGGGAGACAGGATGATCAGTAACCATGTTCCCTCGCAGGCCAGTGGTTATAAATACACTTCAGTAGGAGATCACTTCTTAGCCTTCTCTTCTTGCTCTTTCAAAAGATATTTTCACCTTTTCTGTATTATGGAGATGGTGCTAACTCAAGCAGTCTCACACTGCATAACCAAAGACTCCAAAAACCTGATGGGCTATCATGTGTCTTTGATTATACAGTGATTATGCTGTGTTTTGCCATTAAAACCTAGAAGTATAACAACTAGTGAAATTAGTTTCTGGGAACTTAGACGCTTATGCACTGTTCCTTTGTTATAAAAGTTAGAAGTTAAATACTTGGAATTTCACTGGGAAAATAGATAATTCTAACCTTGGAAGAAAACACAGAAAATACTTTCTCTTTAAATTTTTAAATACTGTGTGAGCAAAAATTTAGAAGTGGCAATCCCTTTCAGTAGCTGATGTTGTACCCTCAATATATTTAGAAATCTAAACAGTTAAGCTGATTTTTGTCTTCAGAAGTTGTGTGGAGTCTTTGCGTGTTCTTGTGTTGCATGTAGTCTGGACATATTCTAGCTCAGACTAAAATCTGGCTGTAAACTGCTGATGCTATTTTATTTAGTAGTTATTTTTAAGCCCTCACTTAAAAACTCTTTTGTTATCTGCTTTTTGCCAGTATAATTTAGATATCTTGCTTTAATAATCTTAGTAGTTAATATATTGTTGCTCGATTTGCTTCACAATGGAAAGATACTTCTTTTCTGATGAATACAATAATTCAGACTAAAGCACATGGTCAATAAACATATAATACAGTAAATATAATAAAATGAACAAACACCAGAAGTGAAAACAGAACAAAAACTTCTGCAGAAGCCCTTCCCCAACCTAAAAATGAGCAAACCTCAGATCGATTTCTCTCAATTTCCTAAATAAAATCAATGTGCACACACAAAGTTGTATATCCTTTTACAGTCTAAAAGAAGGTCTGATTCTGGAAGTGGATGCTCAGCTCTCACTGAGCTTCCTAATGCTATCAGAATATTCTGCTAAAGCAGAAAAAACCCTCAAACCCTAAAAGGCCTTAAGGGTTATTGAAGGAGATCTGTAGTCTTTCTGTTAAATTTAATCAGGGATTTAGAATATGTTTATCCAGGTTTTACCCATTAAACTTTATGACTGATAAATTTGAAAACAAGCATTCTGTGTACAAGGTAACTACTTTTGATACCAGATTGCTTAATGGAAAGGCAGTTATGTTTAAGACATTAAGATGGGTATGTATGTATTCTTCCCTGTTGTTTCCTAGCATTTTCACTGCACCTACAATATAAATAAATGACTGTGTAATGTCTGTTTAATGTGTGTTTTAAAGAATTTTCATGCTGCTTCTGCTGTGGTAAAAACAATATTAGGATGTTGTCATCACTCAGTAAAAACTAGGGGCCCTAGGGGCACTGGTTTACAAATTGATGGAGTTAATTCACATGGTTTCATATAGTAATTACTTAGAATTTAAGCATAAACCCTATTAACAAAAACTTGCTTTTTAATTAAAAAGTAATAGAAAACCCAGGTTAAATAGTGGGTTACTGTTTGCTTAGTCTTTGAGGCATAGGACATTCCATGGTGTTGAAGGTTTTTTTTCTTTGTTTGGGTGGTTTTTTTTGTGTTTTTTTTTTTTGTTTTG